CTTTTTATAAAATATTTGTGGAGAAAAAGCTGATAAATTTTATAATTATCCTGAAACTTCAACCACCTCCAGTGACTCAAATTGCTTTTACGTATTGAAGAGAGTTTTCCCAACATCTTCTGTCTATATTTATATCTTTGATACATGAAATTGAGAAACTCAAGAATAAATAAATGTATAAAGAATTATTTTTAGTCTTTTATTGATTTTCTTCGTAGTACATTTCATGACTGTTTCCCATTCGTCTGTTCTTTATTTTTGCGCGATATTCTTGTCGCTTTTTGCGTTGAATGTAGTTTGCGTTTTGGTCTGATTATTGTTTTATGTGACAATAGAATTCTTCTTTTCCCTTGACTCCAACCACACAACAGTGAAAATTTATTTTCTGCAGACTTTTACTATCAACTGCAATGAAATTGTGAATTTGTATTACAGATATCTGCAACATGTTGTAAAGCTAACATGAAATCGATGCTCATATTTATTGATATTATCGAAACCTCTTTATTAAACATGAATGACTAATGGACCTTTTTGGTTCACTCATAAATAATTTTATCAGATCCAATGAAAAGCTCAACACAAGCAATAAAACTTCCTTTATTCAATTTCAATAGTGCAAGATTTACGACATAAAAATCACTGCATTTGATCTCACACAAACGATATATTTCTTACATTTTTTTTACCACCTAGCAGTAATTGTTACCTCATTGTCAGCAATTATCAAAGTGATCGAAAATTAACAAATTTAATGAGTTTTTGATAAAAAGAAGGCTAAGCAGATATTTAAAGTTTCTTATCTAAACTGAAATTTTTTTTGCTTTAATTTTTTAATTAGGAAATTTTACTTTAACGTAGATTAGATTTTAAACATAAACATGAAAAGTTTCTTTTTCATTAGTCTAGCAGAAGATTCTGGACAACCAAAAAAATATCCCCGAAAACTCCATAAAAGGAAGAAAGAAAAAAAAAGCTGAACGCAAATTGATTGCCTTGTTCCATTAACTTCTTTATGTGCAAAATAAATATATTTCATTATGATGATACTTGAAAAAAAGAAGAAGAAGAAGAAAAATGAATGCGGCAACAAGGAGAAGAAAACAAGGCTATTATTATAATGGAGATTTATTGAATTCTAAATGAGCTTTCAATTACGCTTTCAAGGGAGTTTATATGAAGCTAAGAAAAAGTTTGTCGTGATTCAATATCAAAATTCCATTTATTTAGTTTATTAATTTTCAATTAGATGCATAAAGAAAGAGAGCTTAAGATATTTCTTATATAAGATTGTGACTCAATGTCCTTTAATAAAAGCAGAAAAATGGGAGAAACAAAACGCTAATAACATTTCGATAATAAACTTTATTTCTGCAGTATTTGGAGACCATAAAACAAAGTTCAGTGAGCAATATTAAGGATCAGGGCGTTTGAATTGAAGAAAAGCCAATATGTCGCAGACTTTATTTGAAACTGAATCTCTTTATGGTAGATTTAAAAGTTGAATGAATCTCAATTTCAAGTGCGATCAAATTCTTGAGCATTGTTGAAGGCAAAGTTCATTGAAGATTTTTTCAAAGTCATGTAAAGCTGGAATGTTTGAGAGCTCAATTATATATTCAAAGTAGGAAATGTTTGTTCACTGAAGTTTTGAAGTTAATTTTGTTGAAACTAGAGGAAGATGAACCAAAAACATTTTTTGTTGTGAAGAAAATTGTTCATCAACGAAATAAAGTAACAACGTAACCGTTTACATCACACAATAATTTTCCTTTCTTCAGTTCAATCTCATAACTTTGTGCTTTGCTACTGCTGCTCGTGTTATTGTTTCATGTAAAGAAAACAACAGGCTCTCGTCATGATAAATATCGATTTTTGCTTTCTCGGGAAGTGTGCGAGTGAGGCGAAAGAAAAAGTTTCGTTTTCGTTTTCCACGTTGATAGAATTAGAACATCTGACAAAAACTCGTCAAACTCTCGTCATTCTTTCGTTTTCTCACTCTCGGTTGGGGGGTGAAAGCTTTTTTCCGTTTTCCTGCAGCTTACCTTGCTTAATCTGGCTGAAGCTTATTTTTAGAACAGTATTTGAGGCAAACTTTAGCATACGTTATCGTACTTAAGCGACATTTATTAACTTCTACTTTATTTCCCTCTTTTATACTTAATTAAATGTATGAGGTGCTTTCTCTTTGACGCTTTTACCTCTGCACAAACGCTTCTAATTCTTTATGATAATTTTCCCTTGCATAGAAGAAATGAGCAATGTCTCAATTACTATTCATTAAAATTTCTTGTATTTGTCGTTTGTGACATTAAAGCCTCAAGTTCATGACGTGTACGAAAAAATTTTGCTGATTCTTTTTTTAGATGAGCTAAAATTTTGGGTTGATATTACCAAAGGTCAGTTTAAGAATGGAATCGAATTAAATTATTATTAATAAACGACCAGTTGGATTTAAGTATCAAATGACGTCAGTGTGAGTGTCACGCAATAATCAAAACTATTCAAGGTTCGCAAAGTTCCGATAAAAATAAGAAGTATTTGGATTTAAGATTTCAGCAATTTTATTTAACCTTGAACTCAATAACCTTTCGTATTACATATTTACATCGACGTCCAAATATTTCTCGATATTATTATATATCACTCTTCTTCCTTTTTTTGTTAACTTTACTTTTTGGGTTAATGTTGCGAACAAAAGAAATGATAATGAAAAAAGTTTTCGATTTACGATTTATGCTGCCTGCTTGCTGATACTTTTCTTCGTTTTTCTTTTTCATTTTTCTTCGTTTTCCTAGGGATTAGCAACCATAATGTGTAATTGAATGAAGAATCGTTAAAAGTATCTCTAGATACAACTTCACAAAAGGTTGCGAATCCTCACGAAAACAGAAAACAGTTTCCCATGCTATTTGTAATATTATAAAGTTTAAGCAAAACATTTATACAAAGGAATCATTTTATTTGGCTATGGGGAAATCGTTTCATCTCTCAACACATTACACAGATTCATTGTTTAAATTATTTGCTACAATTTATCTTTTTATATTTTTGAGTGAGAAAATTTACTTTCGTATATTTGAGGTTTTTTTTTGGCCTTGATTCTCGCTTTGAGCATAAAAAATATTAAAAATACAACTGAATAGAGAGGTCATAAACATCTCAACATAAAAGCCAAAGCAAGGGAGAAGGGCAAAAATTTCAATTTCGGTTGCTAAAAAATATTTTTTTCAAGTTTGGTATTATAAAAGTAAATTTTTCCATTTCACCGATCGGGAGTAGTAAAAGATTGAGTACAAAGTGAAAACGTAAATTACCCAAAGCTCATTGACTTCTCCTTCCAAAATCAACTTCTCAATCTTCTAAGTTCTTTATGAAGTCGCTCTACTATGATAAAAGTAATTTCTCAAGTTGATGATTTATTGCAGTGTGGATTTAACTTTTCAAGAGCCGTTGAAAGCTCGAGAATAAGAATTTTAATCGAAATTTGTCCTTTAATTTAAATGTCAAAATTGTCCAAAGCACACAGGGAGAGAGACAAAAAAAGAAACTTCAGACGAGTGGCCATTCGTACGATCTGTTCATTTATATATGTTTGTCCATTCCATTATTCAACCCTTTATATTCAATGAACATCACATTTCGTGCCCGCATTCTGTTGAAAAAGAATTAATTATGACCTTATGCTTTCGCCAAATATTATGTAGGAGAAAAAAGGAAAGCGACAAACCCATTACCCATTTCAGAGAAAGGAAATTTGCCTTGGCAGATCCTGAAAGAACAGAGCTTAATGAAAGAATAGTTGAAATACATATTAAGATTTATTCATTAAATATTAGATGGTGTGGTTGATGGTTCGTGCAGTGGCTAGCAGAGTGTAAGCTCAAAAGCTATTTTCTTTATACATTTCGTAATTTACATGCCTTTGCTGGCTACTTCCGTCAATTAATTCCAAAATTTATTCCTTCATGATCTATGTTTAGCAAGGTAGGAATAATTAGCACAAAAGCATTTTTCTTTTTACTTTTTGCTAATTTTGTTAATTAAATTTAAAAGCAAACTCACCGACATGTACAAAAATATTATGAAGCCTAAAATCAAAATCTCATCGCAACTTTCAGTCGCTGACAAAAGAAATTAATTTTGATTTCTTTTCTTAATGAAGTTTTTGCCTTAAATATGTTGATTTAATTTCTTAATTGAATTCGGATGATGATAATGATCCTAATGAGGCAGTTCCTTCAACAACTATATAATCTACTCATCAGTCATCTGATTTCAATTTCAAATGAGAAAAATGCAGAACAGAAAATTTCCTTTACAATATTAATGAAATAATTACTTAAAATCTGCACATTAATATTTCAATTGGGGAGTTCTCTTTTTTTTCGAGATTATTTCATCTAGATTTAAGCATGAGAAATGGAAACAATTATAATGCTGACAGTTTAATTCGTTAAAAAGAAGATTTCATGAAAAATCTTTTCAATTTAACAAAACTGAACTTTTGAATTTCTGCATCTGATGCTTACTTTTATATCTTATCATGTATTATGCAGCTTTTTCGTGTGGTGCTTAAGGGTTGCATAAAGCATGAAACACGTTTTCTGATTCAAAGTTTATTTTCATCCTCTGTCGTTTCTTTTTAGACATTTCAAACTTGACGACATATGAAATCCGTGCATGATATTTAAATACTTTATGTTAACGAATTGAAGACATCAGTAAAGTTTTACACGAGTTCTAATTAAAGTATTTCCGTGACTTTGCAAGAGCTTATTAAAAATAAAAAACTAAAGTCGTTACACTTACTTGCTACACTCACCCACTCGCTACAGTCATCACTGCAAGAGCTTTTGTTCTTGTTGTATAATCCACAAGCTTCTTCCAAGCGAGAGTTTTGCTATTATGGTTTTAGTAACCATATAAACGTGCAAACGTTGTTGAATGTAAAATTAGAAAAGAAATATTTACATTTGTGTATTAAACGTGACATTAAAAATAAAATGGGAAAACTCTTGTGAATATTTTTCCACAATTTTTATCATTTAAAAATAGGAGATAAAAAATGATTTGATTAACGAGCATAATATTTACTAAAGGTTAAGATTTATTTATCAAAGGAAGAAGAAAAATGCTTGAAATAAATTGAAAATAAGCTAAGACTGGTGGGAGTCCAATTGGGCCATAAATAATTCATACATATCCGTCGTTATTCTTCTCATTTGTGGTGAATGAGCGAAGAGGAAAGCTTTAGATTTACAAAGCACAACAAGCTATAAAAGCTCTCGTGAGCACTCAAAAAATTCCAAACGAAAAGAATATGACATAAAAGCAATAATAAATCATCCACCCAGTCGAATTAGGGAACATGCTGCCATATGCTTCGAATATTGTCAATGGCAGCATCCGTGACTTTTCTTATGCCAACTTTTCCGTTCTCTTCGATCCCTACCATTAACATCAAGTTGTGTCCGCATTGCGATACCAAACTGTGCTATAACCGTCCTAGTTGTAACCACGAAACCCATTTTTCGCTCTGAGTCAACAACGTGCTCCGTTTCGCTAAACTTTAACATAATTTAAATTTTCATTTTTTAAATTACAAATTATTACCAAACAAACTCCTCATACCTATTTACTCTTCTTCAAAACTTTTCTTGCTGAGTTTTTACGAAAGAACAAAAAAGTTTAAGGCAATGAAAATTATCTCACACTTCATATGAATTATTTACTGGTGGTAATTGCAAAGTTACGACCACATGATTTGAAATGATTAGGAAATGAATCGTTTAGAGCATCCGCCACTGTTTCGCACCAAATACTGAACCATAATTATTTTAATGGATATTGTGGGAGAAATTGTGAAAAGTTTTAAGCCAACCTTTGTGTATGAATGAATAAATAAATAATTTATCCGCTTTATCTTAACCTTTCTTTTCTCTTTTTCTTTTTTCTTCTCAATATTTACGTAGCAGAATCTGAAGAAGATGATATTGTTCTTCCCGTCCGATATTATCCAGAATCACTGTCTGCACTAAGCAAAGCAACAAGATTCTCTGAAGATGAAATTAAACGAATGTATCGAAGCTTTAAATCTCAATGTCCCACAGGTTTTATCAGAGAAGATACATTCAAGGAAATTTACTCTCAATTCTTTCCATTTGGAGGTATGTATAAAAGAAAATCTTTTTGAAAGGAGCGAAGAACTTAATTAGACGATAACACGCCAACAAACACCAGTTGATGAAAAAAGAAAATTAAATTATCTTATAAAAACGTGTGTGTGTTTGTTCTTTATAATGGTGTGTGTTATTTAGTCAACAAAAAGCTTTTTCATCACTTAATTATCTGAGATTTAATAAGAAATTAAGGCACTTAATGCTTCTAGTGAGATTATCGCATACATATAACGTTGAACTTCCTTTCAGTCGTTAAACAAAAATCGCTTTAATATGATTTTCTCTTCCTTTTAGTTATCAACACTTAATGAGATAAAATGATATAATTATAAAAAGAAAATGTTATTGTCTCACTTCAATTGTGGTGGGAAAAGTTGGGATGATATTTGATACAATTCTGTAAAATTCAAGAACATAATTCATGTTATCTCGACTGTTGCTCCCGTCTGTGTAGCGATAATAAACATTTATTTATTTCCGAATGTGTCATAAAACTGCTTTTTATATTCTGCTACCTATCGTGCTTTATATTTATCAACATTTTTGGCATAGCTTCACATCTAGATAAATTAATATTTATTTTACCAACTCAACTGTGTGATTATCCACACAACAAGTTGAATAAAGTTTTTGTTTGCATAAAGTTCAAAATAACTTTGACCAAGTCACTTATTTTTACTTGGCTTCGATTCAATAATTTAATAAATAAGAATTTATGCAGTGTAGACAATGCAAGATGCCAAGATTTTATCAAACATTATGTCGCTTTGTTAGTTATTATGTCGAATGTGAAGATTTTAGAAATGACAGAAAATTGCAATTTCAATGATTTATTATGCATTGAAGGCATGTGCATGTCATCTTATTAAAAATTTATATCTTTCTTTCTTTTATTATTACAGTAAGCACATCGCAGTATGCTCATTATGTATTCAATTCCATCGATCGGGATTCAAATGGCAGTGTGAGCTTTGAGGTAATTTTTTTCATTCTTGAATATAAAGATATCAAAATTCAAGTTATGGAATATTCCGACAATAAACAAATATTTTTCATTGATATTGAATAAAAACATATAAGTCGTGAACCTTGCCATCAACATATTTACTTTATTCATGACTATGAGTAGAATAAAGGTCTCCATTAATAAATTCTATAATATTATTCACTCACTTTCCTTTTCCATGTCAAACAAAACCAAAAAAAATCCAAAAATCACACTGTCAACAGGAGTTTGTCCTTAATCTGTCAATACTTTCACGTGGAACACTCGACGAAAAACTCGAATGGACGTTTCAATTGTATGATGTCAATGGTGATGGATATATATCGAAAGACGAAATGACTGAAGTGATGACGTCAGTTTATGAACTGATGGGGAAAGTCTCTGAGGGATGCAAAGAAGAAAATCAAATTAAAGCGAAAGTCGAGAATATGTTCAAGGTGAAGCTTATTTTTATCTTTAGGATCATTTAATATTTCGAATCATTGTATCGTTTTGTTGTTACTAAGTGCATAAATCATAAATTTATTTCTAGAAAATGGATCTCAATGCTGATGATAAAATTTCATTGGAAGAGTTTCTTTCATCGTGCCATAAAGACGACGGATTAATGCGATCGATAGGAGTCTTTCAGACAGTTTTTTAACCAACCATTCAGTTAGTAAAAAGCTGATAATTTCTCTTTTTTCAATATTTCATCATTACATTAATAAAACCGACTGCAATACAACCATTCGCTCAAATAACTTAGATAACCATAACGCTGCTTCCATTTTTATTTCCATTTAAATTTGGATAAATCATTGACTATGAACACAAAAGAATGTGAATCATCTGAATAGCTTTTATTGCGATGGTTCTCTTGATATGTAGCAAAACCACAGATAAGAGTCATGAAAAATTGTTTTCAATATTTGAAAAAGGGAAAGAGATGAGGAAAATTAAGCAGTGCTAGCGTTCTGAAGCTTTTAGGATGAGATGTTGAAATGTTTTGTCAGTTTAATGGCGTATGGAAAATAGAAAAATAGTTCAAGACATAAACCTAAAAATAAGATAAAAGCTACCTAACTCATAATATCTATATTTGATAAATTTCATCGCAAGGAGTGACGAGTCTTGTAGACCAAAATAAGAGAATGATTGCAAGAAGGTAAAAAAGCTTCGCATGACAAATATTCATAACCATACACATCTCTTTGCAAAGAATATTTATGTGTAGACAGTTAGGTAAAGCAGAAAATTTATTTTTATTGTAAATACTAAAGATTAATTGAAAATGTGAAGTTTAAAAAATATATAAAAAAAGAAAAATTACAAAGCTTTGAGGCTTCAAGATTTTTATCATTCGAAATGGAAAAAAAAAATATCGCATCAACTTAGATAAATTTTGCTTTCCTTTTGCTTTGTCATGATGACGAAAAGTTATAAATGCCAAAAACCCTTTAAATCTATCAATTGATGTATTTTCTAACTCATTCTATCTCTTAAAGTATCAAAAGTAAATATCCATAAGGGAAAAAGTTTTCATTCTACCTGTTAAGCTATCAAAAAATGCTCAATTTGTCTTTAACTTTCAATTTCAGTCTTTGACAAATAGAAAACTTTTTCATCTATAAAATGTTTAAAAAGACTTTCATGATGATATTTGAAATATAAATTTTATGAAACTTCTCTTGAATGGTTAGAGAGACGAAAGAATAATGGTGTTGCTCGTTAGAAGATTTAAACAAATGTTATTCTCCTTTTCCATGATCTCTACTTACAATGTTCAAATCAAATGTTTCCTTAACAATCGAAGATAATTCTTACTTCCTTAGATCTATTTAAATGTTGTCAAAGTGTTCTTTGAATGGCGAATAATTTTCTTCAAGGCACATCGATGTCTGATGAAGTTAATCGATAACCACAGGCTATCACACAATATCAAGTAGTTTCTTACTTTTATGGTGAACCTTCTGAATATTGATACAAAATTATATTTGAAAGAAGAGAAATCGCCCGAGATTTATCGGTAGGAAAATCAATCAACTTTTTCTTTCAACTTACTAAACTTTACGTATCTTTTGGAATCGATAATATCTCAGCATGGAAAAAAGCTTTAAATTATATTGAACGCTGTCAATGAATGATTTTGTCCGAACTTCATTCAACTCTTTAATAAATTTCAGTTTTATTGAGCAGTTATTCAAGTAAATGTTTACTTTGTAAAATTAATTTAATGATGTTGATGATTGACGTCAAATATTCGTCGAAAAATGAAAATCCAGATTAAACTCTTGAATAAAAATACTTTGTGAACAAATCAGACAAGAATTTTATTTTCACTTCAAGCTTTCTTCGCAAGCTCCAAGAAATTCATTATGAGGTAAGTTAAAAATAACATTGTTAAGGTTAAAATTGAATGAATAAGTTTGAAGTTTTGCAGTATGAACTCTGACGTCATAGAATTAAATATATTCATAAGACTGAAATATCAAACTCATATTTGAATAGCAAATTTCTAGCCAAAACGTCTTGAATACTTGAGATTCATTGGCATCTTCATAAATATTAAATTCTTTATATAATAGCTAAATTTAACATTAATCGATATGATAGAAAATGACGTCATTGAAATATGTGAACTCAAGAAGTGAAGAGAGATTAATTAACAAAATTCTATTGTATCAAATATTTCACATACATGCGCCAATATTCATGGCAATCAATGAAACTTCATTGTTGTCATTTATTTAAAATCTTGTAAAAAACTTGCAATTCAAATCACGTCCCTGATAATTTGAATTTCTCTCTCTGTGATGTTAAATTGAGCACCAAATGTTTTCCGTTTGAAAATGAACTACAAGGAATGTGAATATACTCACAAACCATGAACTATGACATCTTCTTCGTTTCTTCTACATATGCTGATGTTGATTGATTACATGTATACGATTCCTTAGCTAGAACCATGGCTAAGATTACCACCAGAAAATGTTATTTCCACTCTCGAATCTTAATCTTAGTTTTCTTTTATATTTCCTTTTGTCATAAACATTTTCATGTCGAAAAATGAACAAAACCAGCATACAGGAAACGATTATTTTTTTTTTTTTGCTTTTCACCCTGTAAATATAAGCAGGAAATAGCAAAAACGTTTCCATAAAATTATAATACATTATCTTCCTTTCTTCCAAATCATTGCCACCCACAAAGAAAGAATGACAGAACAGAGAATTAAATTCACTATCTTATTGTTGTTGCAAAAGTGAGTATTGAATGTTAAGTTAAGAATAAGTGGAAGTACCAGCAGCGAATTTTAAAAGTTTTCCGGAAAATCATTTCAATGCTTCTTCTTCTCATTTAGTTTTGTCGGATAAGTAGCTGCACTATGAAAGTTAAATAAAACTTCTCTAATTATCAATTTCTTAATGCAAAAACCAGTTAAAGTAATAACAATTTTAAAACAAGAGTGGCAGAATAATAATTACTTTTTCTTACAGTTTTAAGTATTCAGTTAAATTGCATGGAATTGGATGATTTTTTCAGTTCTTAAAATCATTTCAAAGAGAAAATGGTAAATTATTAAAAGCTTAAGTACTTAACAATGCCAATCGTCAATCATATCCGATTTAATATTTTCAATTTTCACAGTATAGATGAGCATAAACTTTCCTTAAGCTGCGATCAATAAACGAGTTTTCACAAATTGAATTCATAACACTTTAAAAGAATATTTTTCCATAAATAAAAAGCAGAAGGAGAGACTTTTAGGAAAAAGGGAGACTTCGGAAGACTTATAAGACTTGCGAAATGATGTACATCACGCACTTTAGGTATACACAGAGAAATTTTAGATTGATGATAATAATGAATAACGCACTTTATGTATTGGTAAACAGTTCAGCCAGAATTAATGAAATTAAAATCGGCTTAACAAGGTTCTCTCGCTTTGAAAGTTCTTTTATTATCTAATTAACAGTCTCATATGTTTAAAAACTACATTTATATGCGTGTTAATAGATTATTCGAGATTGTAAGTAAAACGAGTTGAATACAGCCAAAGTTTCACACTTTCTAGTTGACAAATGTCAGCGTTTTCAATCTGATTTGATTTATAAAGCAATTAATTAAGAGACGATGTTGTGAGAGTTAGGAAAGCGTGAAGCGACATTTTGGGATTGTGAAAACGGCATTTTAAACGATCTAATTCTGTAAAAAAGAAAAAAAATCAGTAATGTCTCGTGCTAAAGGCTATTTTGAATTATCAAATGAGTTGATAATGACCGCTTAGAATAGAACGTGAGAATATAAAAATTGCAAGAGAGTTTGAGCTCTCACTTTAAATTCTACTTTCGACCATTAAGCATCAGAATAAAAAAATTAGACAAGTTGTCATTTTAATTGTGTTTTTATTGGGATATTATAACTATAATTAAATATTAATTATAATTATGTCTTTTCGTCTGTCATCAATTAGTTCGAATTATTTATCGCGGTTACGAAATTTTGCAGTTTGTGTACGAACAAAATCTTCATTCGCCGCTAATATTGTTGAAACTGAGAATGGACCTGTCGAAGGTGTGAAGAAGAATTCTTGTTTGGGAAGAAACTATTTCAGTTTTCAAGGAGTTCCTTACATGAAAGCACCCATTGGTAAATTACGCTTCCGCGACGCTGAACCTCCAAAAAAATGGACAGAACCACTTGATGTCACTCAAGATTCGTCTGCTTATTGCATGAGGAGCTTTATCAATTATGCAGACGGAGGAAAAGAAGATGCCAATACAGTTAATGTTTATACACCTTACATTCGTCCAAGCAAACCTCTGCCAGTTCTTTTTTGGATTCACGGTGGGGGCTGGAATGCTGGTTCAGGGCAAACCGATCTTTTTGGCCCTGACTATCTGATGCAAAAGGACGTCATTCTTGTAACTGTCAACTATCGACTGGGTCCTGTAGGATTTTTAAGTTTAGAAGATCCAGACCTTAACATTCCCGGTAATGCTGGATTGAAAGATCAAACGTTCGCTTTAAAATGGGTCCAAAAAAATATCAATAACTTTGGTGGTGACCCGAGCAATGTTACAATATTTGGAGAATCAGTAAATATTCTTATCTTTGTTTATTTATAATGAAAAGAAATGAGATTTTGATTTGAATGTTTCAAGGCTGGTGGAGCGTCAACACATTTTCACATGATATCGGAAATGTCAAAGAATCTTTTTCAAAAAGCTATTTCAATGTCAGGGACTGCTTTTTGTAAACCATACACAAAAATTCCACCACGCGACTGGGCTTTGAAACTTGCAAAAGAACTTGGTTTTAATGGAAAGGCGAATGAAAAAGATGTCTTGGAGTTTTTAGAGAAACCTGATGGGATGTCGATCGTTCAAGCGGCAAAAAAAGTGTTGACTTGGGAAGAAGAGATTGGCCAGCATATCCTTTACGCTTTTGGTCCGGTCGTTGAACCTTATATATCGAATAATTGCTTCATACCCAAGGATCCCGTTTTAATGGCGAGAACTGCCTGGTCTAAAGACATCACTCTTATGATTGGTGCAACCAGCAACGAAGGAATTCTTCGTGCGAACGTTGATAGTAAGAAGATTTCTGATACTTTGCAAAATGTGAACTTTTTTGCACCTTCTATCGAACTTAATCTTGATGTGAAAGGAGAAAAGGCGGAAAAATATGGAAAGCTAATTAAAGAAAGTTATTATGGACAATCAGAAGTCTCAGCTAACAATCAACAACCTTACTTAAGTGTGAGTATAGATTTAATACAAAATAATTTTTAATTGCTGCAAGTTATTAATGCAACGTAAAAATTTCTTCACTTTAAATTGTAATAAAACTTGTTTTTAGTTTATATCAGATCTTTACTTCTGGCATGGAATTCAACGGGCACTCCAATCAAGGATGAACAATGATGGATCAGGAAAGAATTTTCTTTACCGCTTCGATATTGATCTGAGTCAGAATTTCGTTAAAAAGATGCATGTACCCGAAGAAGAGTACAAGAAATATCCAGGAGCAAGTCACTGTGATGAATTGCCTTACATCTTCAAAACCAACGAGCAAAGTACAAAATTAAGCTCACCAACAATTGATTCAAAAGAATTTCACGTCATTAGAAAAATGACTGAGACTTTTACGTCATTTGCAACTAATGGAGATCCCAACAATCAGGAATTGGGAGTGCAATGGGATGAATTGGAATCAAAGGATGAATCATTAAAATGTTTAAATATTCATCATAACGAAACCAAAATGATTCTTCTTCCAGAAAGTAGAAATTTAAAAGTTTGGAACGACATTTACTCACGAGAAAATGTTGACCTTTACTAAATATTTTTTTCAATTTGAACGAAAAAGGTAAAAGAATAAAAAATTACCGAAACAAACACATTTTTTTGACTAACACAGAATTTTAATTAAAATATGAGATATCGGACATATTTCGTATTATTACTGATGATTTTTATGTTAATTTTGTGTTTATTTTTCTAGCAGCAGAGAATATGCGACATATTTCAATTATTATTTATTATCTCCTAACTAAACATGACTAAATGTTTTTTTCTGACGTTGACCGACATGAAGCAGCAACAATGATTTCATTTTAGTTTAATGAAACAAAACAATGCAATGTAAAGTTGGGAAATAAAAGTAATCGTGGAACTTTTGATTTGAAATGAGTATTAAATATTGTCTAAAGTATTATTACATGTCTGACGAAAATTATTCAAAACTTGAAAGATTTCAGTACACAACTTGCAGTTTTAATCACATCAAGTGCATGCTGCAGTGCCACAGACGTCGTTATAGAGTGAATTGTCTCATTGCGGCAACTGAATTTTTTTCTGAGTTTAAACATCTGACGATATTGTATTTGAAAACAAGAACGAATGACTTTCATAATAAGAACAAGAAAAGGGTGCTTTTAATACCTCAACTAGCTTAAAATCACATGAAATGCTAGTAATCTTTTACAGAAATATCTAAAATCTTTATGATTTTATTATTCAAATGAAGAAAGAAAATATATTTAAGCTTTTAAGTTCGCAACACCGCAGAAGAGAAACCTACGAAATTTATTTATATCTTAATAATATACAATTCATTTTATTTACAGCATAAACATATTCTTTGAATTTTAAAACTCGTGTCAAGATTCTCCGATTTATCCTTAAGATACAAGAAACATTTAAAACAGATGTTCTCTCAACCCTATCCTATCATCTCTAATACTTCACGCTATGATACGCAACCAGCCATAACATAAGAATGTTTTACGTTTAGAAGATTTCCTCGTCTATTTTCACTCATCGACACAGTGATGTTTACCCACAAAATAAAGCGACTAAACTGCTTTGTTGAAGCCACAAAAACGAAAGTCAAAAAGAGACATGTAAGCGATTCCCTTGCTTGGAGCATTGTTGTGCCAGTTTTCACTTTATGTTACTGCCACATTTATGACTCGAAATTTCGTGGGAAAAACAGGTGAAGGTTCATATATTTGTAAGTTAATATTTATGAGGAAGCATTCAAATTTTTTATCATATGGCAGACATGGGCTTAGAAAAATGATGATAACTGTTTAGAACAATTGCAATTTGGGGATTTGTTCGTGTTCTTACATCACAATTGATTTAAAAGAACGAAGGAGCGAAAAGAGAAAATACAGAAATGTTTGCATCATTAAATAATAAATAGAAAAACGACAAGTCATTTAAAACAACTACTTGCTTAAGGCATGTTCGAACACATTTCATTCGAGAATTGCTGCAAGGAAAGTTGTTAAATGTAATCATCAATTAAATTCTCACGCCCCCTCCATTATTCTAAGTAAACGAACTGTGAAATTTCTTAATGAAAGATTTTTTCGTCGTCTCTCTTGAATCGTAAGCAATTGATTTAACCAACGACTTTTGATAAATGTTATCTTGAAAATTATAAAACTTCTGTCATTAATTATCAATCAATACTCATTATAATTTATTCCTCTGTCTGAAATGTTATTGTTTCATTTGCTTGAAGTTTTAACAAAATTGAAATATTTAAATTTTCCACAGCAACGAGCACTTTCATTCATATAAAATTTCCATCGACCATGCACAAGAAAAACCTTTCAAACTTTATTTCTACTTCAACCCTTAAAATTTTGAGAAAGATTTTTAAAAAAAATTTCAACTTTTTACTTTTGCCTAAAATTTTCTTTTCAGAGTTTTAAAATCTTTTTCATTAACTGGATCATTAAACAATTTGGTAAAGTCCTTAAAAAGTTACAGGAATTATTTTAACGACGTCAATGCCCTTTTTGAAAATTATAATTAGGAAAAGTTTTTCTAATTCTTGCTTTAAATGTTTTGAAGAATATTTTGTTGTTTCAGCTTTAAAAATATTATTAAAAGAACATTTTCGATTCAACATGTTTTTAAAATTATGTCGGTATTTACTTTTGAAAAGCAAATACGAAAGCGTAATATAGAAAAGGACCATCTTGCATTATTTGTAAAAAAAAAGAGAGAAATAAAAGAACCCTAGGGGCAATCTATTTAATTACTGAATTTTCAAACAATACTTCATTATATTGTTCAGTAACTCCCACTAAAAGCACTAATAATATTTACACTGAAAATATAATTTATTCTCTTGTTGTAACTTCTTTCATCTAATTGCAATACTGCAACCAGTGTAAATACTTACAAAAGAAGAGAAGAAAAAGAAGAAAAATCTACCATCATTGCCAATAAAATACAATTTTCCTTTGTTACAAGCTTTTAAAATTAAATTTTCAGAGATTTCACTTCTTCGTTTTCTCCATTTCTGCAACTCACTGAAAATTCATTTTAAAAGTGTTTCTTGTTTCCTTAAAATTTCCGTTTTATTTTTCTTTATATTTTCAAGTAAATGCCAATTTATTTTAAGCACCAATGTAAGTGGTTACATTACCGTAAATAACTCCCACAAAAATTTATTGTCCTAGTAATGTGGTCGACAAATAAATAATTTGACATAATTATGAAATCATTGCTGTTTAACAATCAACATGTTTATGTTGTTAAAGAATAAAAAAATCATTGTGGGAAATGGAAAAGAAACTAAAAAGAAAGTGGAAGGTTGAGGAACAAAAAGAAAACAAAATATGTCAAACAAAAATAAATGAAGAGAACTTTTTTATTAGTTTTCAACAACAATGTTGCGGATTTTCGATAATCATAAAGACTGTTACAATCGAAATCCTTTAAAGGACTTCAAATATTCATTTAAAACATTGATATTGTTATCTAAAGTGAAGCTTCTAAAATGTGACGTAAAAGCTTTCACAAAAATCCTTCAAACTTCCATTTAAGAAGCTTCACTGGATATCTTCTTCGTTTTAATCTTCTAGATAATATTTTTAATAATCGTTTGTGTATAATATCGAATTATTTAACATTTTCTACGCTCACATTATGTGATAGAATAACAATTATCAATCCGAAATATAATTCGATCACAATTTACATTTTACAGTCACATTAAGTAAAATCGTCGATCAAATATTAATTTAACAATCATTGTAATTTATATGCTCCAAAAATAGAAGTTTTAAATTGAAGAAAAGTGACAGAAATAAAAATTTTGAATTTTGATTAGCTGTAAGTCGTCGTGTTTCAACAAAAACATTAATTGCGTTGGGTTGAACTATGTAAAATGTTTTTTTGAGTCTTTTACGTCATTTGAATAATTTTGATGTTAAAATATGCTCAAATTAAATAATTACTTATATTGAGCGAGGAATTTAACGTGAAATTCCTGGAATAAAGCGAGCATCTCTTTAAGTTTCTCTGGTTGTGGAAGAATTGTGGTTCTGAAGTGATATGTGCCTGGTCTTTGACCAAAACCAGATCCAGGTACAATACAGATTCCAGTGTTCTCCAACAATTGGAAAGCATAGAAAGAGTCAGGAGTTTGCCCAGCTTTCTTTGCAGCATCAATTGCTTTCTGTGGAAGTTTAAACTGGGGGAAAGCGTACATAGCACCTTGAACGGGATTGCACGAGAATCCCTCAAAGGAATTGAATGTTTTTGCCACCATTTCAGCTCGTTCTTTCAGTGATTGTAGCACTCCATTCTTCTCCTTCATAAATAATTCGTATGAAGGTTCACCTGGTTTTGGTGGATTCACAACAACGTCAATACAAGCTTGGCCAATTGTTGTTGGACATAATTGAGCAGAAATTGATTTGAGTAATGCAGCTTTGACTTCAGGGCACATATTAATGACTTCAGCATATCCGCCACGAATCCCACATTCACCCATGTAACCTTTCGAGCAGCTCATGAAGCTTGCCATGTCCATCTTACTGTAAGGTTCGCCCATTTCGGTGAGAACTTTCTTAAACGAATAAAATTTAGAGCCAGCCGCATAAATATTGTCTTGATAAACTTCGTCAGCAAAAATGAAGAGATTTTCTTTGTAAGCAAACTTGATGATCTCTTCGATGTTCTCGCGTGATAAAACTTGACCTGTTGGATTTCCAGGATTGATGACGACAATGGCACGAACTGCTGAAATTTTCCTTGCTTCATCAACTGATCTTTGCAATTCTTTTATGTCTAATCCCCAATTCTTTGACTCGTCCAGATAATAGCCGACTTGTTCCATATCAAATTCAGCAATTGTCGCGGAATAAAGCGGGTATTGAGGAATAGGAACCATCACACCTGGACGTTTACCATTAACAGGGCAGCGAAGAAGTGCAAGGATTGCTTTAATACTTCCCGAAGCTCCTGATGACAAAATAATATTTTGCCAATCTGATGGAATTCCATCGCGTCTTTGAATATATTCAGCGCAATGATGTCTGATGATTTCAATTCCTAAAATTAAATATAATTAAACAACTTTTATTTATTGAGATGATTGAATTCTACCAGCTGAATCTGAATATGATCCCAAGCTTGATCCTTTACATCCACTCAAAATATCGCGAGCTCTTTCCTTAGCATCCGATGGAATTGTTGGATCATCAAACAATTTTTCGTACACACAAAGTCCAAGTACCTTGAAGATAAATTATTAATGATACAAATTAATGATCGTGCAAAAAGATAAGCGTTCATTATTTGTCTTATTTAATAAAAAGAACTAATCACTGATAAGCTTAACAAAAACAACTTTTTCAACTGATAAAAATTTCTTTTTTTCCCACTCAAAATTTAGCTTCACATTGCAATAGAAAATTAAAGATGATCAATTGATTTTGATAGTTTTAAATTTGTGATGAATTTACTAAATCACTAACAACAGCATAGAGTTTCACAGTCTCAACATTTCTGTGATTTAATAATCACTTTTCATAAAAATCACATAAAACGACACTTTTTTATTATCCAATTTAGAATGTTGCTGACTGGCTGTTAAACAAATGACGCTTGAGTCATATTCAAACTTCACATGACATTGTGCTTTGTTTTCAATGATTTGTTGTTGTGATGTCTGCCCAAATGATTCAACATTAAAATCAATCAACGTACGATGAGTACTTACTTGGCGAATGAATGTGATTGGAACTTGACCCTGAAAAGGAATCAGAAAGCAATCGGTAATGTTAACATTGAGAATATTTTTATGCTTCTTATAATTACCATTGCATGACAGTCACCAATATTAGCACGAATGACCTCATTGAAAGGCTTCTTTACTCCCTAAAAGTAGAAGATAAAAATGATATGATTAGTTTGTATTGAGTTCATAAGTACATTCGATAAAAGCATGACATGATCAACTGGTTTTCCTTCACACAATCATGTGATAATCAACACTTGACAGAAAAATCAAGTTTTTTCACATGAAATGTAACAAAGAAAATTTTTCTTTTCATATGTCAAAGCTACAATCACGAGAAGAGAGCAAATAATCACGTCAAAGTTGTTTACTTTCTTCTCAGTGTAAATTTGATTGCTATAAAAAATTTCTTTCTTTTTCTTTTCCACTCAAAAAATTTCCACAGGAAAAAATAAAAATAAACAAATCAAAATCAAAGATATTTAATACCTGTTCAAGTTCTTTCTCGATGGCAACAGCACGGATAACAAGAGGACCTCTGAAATTATTGTTGAATATAGCAATTATCACCAGATATAATCATATCTAATATTGTTTTGAGTTTTTGCGCAAGACGAAATATAAATTTAATGATTATCACATTTTTTTTACCTCACAGCATACTCCATTGTTTTGATACATGGATTAATGTTGTCGAGCTCAAGACATTTAGAAGATTTAATAGCTGACATGTTTCTTAAAGAGTTATATGAAATAATACACGGACTATTGAACACTGATTGTGACGACGACCGGCTCAAATGACGACTGAGCCAACTACATCTAATAGAACTGAGACGTGCTGCCATCTGCAAACGAGAGAGTAAAAATATTGTGAAAGAGAGAAAAAATCTGAGAGAGATCATTGATGACGTTTCTCCAAGGTTTTGTTTACACTATTAAATCACAAATACGCGCATGTAAAAACACATTACCGTTGGGTTTACAAAGCTATCATATATAATATCAAACAAAATATATCGAGAATTGTTGCTCCGAGAAATTTTGGACGAGAAAAGAAAATCTTAAACGATGCATAGACGACATACATGTATGAAGCTTTGCATTTATATTGTATATCCGACTGCAATTTTAATGTCCGTGAAAATAAAATTTTTTGTACGTAATAAATATTAGTAAGAGACGGTCAATTTTTATTGTTTTTATTCATTGATCTTCATCTTGACATTTCAAAGCCATGTAGATGTTTTAAAACTATTCGCGACTGATAAGATTAATTCCCACATTAAATTCTTTTCTTTTAGGATTTTTTTTCTTCTGGTGTTAATACAATAAATAAATATTTTGATGAAAACTCACTTAAAAATAAATTCGAGAAAATCACGATTGAATGGTATACTTTGTATGACTTCTTGCAACAGTTTGATTACACTTTAAGATTCAAATATTTTTTACAAACACGACACGATTAATGTTGACAGAAATATTTTCATCCAAAATATATTTCTATGTGGACAAAACTTCAAAGTGATGTGTAGACAAATACTAACTGAGGAATTAAAATTTTTCTAAGGTTTGCTTTTTGTGTCTCGACTAAATTGAGAGAATATATTCTCTAGGTGAGAGTCTTGGCACATTGACATGGGATGGTGCTGAAGTAAACATTCTGAATTTTTAAAAATACAACGGCAGTTAATTTTCATAATGAAATATTGTACTTGGACTTAATGATAATTATAATCTTGTAACTCATGAATGTTATTCCAGTAAAGAAACTGAGTAAGTAGAAATAAGAATTATGAAAATTCTTCACGCTTATTCGCCCTTCTTTTGGCTTGTTTTATTTCTACCCCATGTAAATGTTACTTTTTTTTAAGAATTATCAGCGACTGTAATCTTACTGTTTTTTATGCTTTTAAAGGGACTTCAAGTGACAAACAGTCTTGAAGATTTTTATGAAGCGAAGCTGATAGTTATGAAACTTTTATGAATATTTTTGATGTGTGAGAATATTACGTTTTAGAAACTATTTGAAATTTAAGATAAGATCAAATAGTGAAACGTTAAATAAATAACATAAAACATAAATTAAAGTCAATCAAAACTTTTTCCCATCGATTGTATTGTTGGTGATTTGAAATGTTCACTTTGGAATTCGGATTTCCCAGTACTTTGTGCGGGTATCATCGATTTATTTATGTGATTATTAGGGGATGAAATTAATAGATAAGAACCGTTGGAAAAAATAAGTAATGAGAAAAAGCTTGAAGACATTGATATATTCCAATCATGTTTCCTCAATCAAACAAATTTATATTTTTCTACATTCTCTGAGAATGAATATTCAATTAATGTATAAGTTAATGAACATTGGAAAATTGACTTCTCACTTTAAGCAATAATAATGAAATTTATTTTTGTGGCTATTTTAATTTCAACAGGAGTTTAAATACCCAAAGTGCTACCTTGACTAGTTAAGAAGACGACCCTAAATGAATGGAAGGCACGAGCTATTTAAATTTGAAAAAAGTCAAACCATATGGTGCTGGTATCATCATCGCCAGTGCTTAAGCATGTGGAACGATTACGATTAGAACTTTTACCAAATATTGGCCTCAAGTGTTAAAGAATTTAAATCTTCAACTTCACTACTGTGTAAATGCGATTGGATTATCACGAGATTTTTGTGGTTTTAACTATTCAACAGAACTCTTTGCACCTTTCTATGAATGAACTGAGAGTTTCATCTGCTTATGTGAGTCAAAAGATGTGAAATGTTTTCTCTTGCGTTTGTAATTGAATTTCCATCAGCATCGAGCGATGATTACATGCAAAAACGAAAAAATAGCAACACAAAAGATCTGAAGAGGGTTTGATGTTAGCAAACAATAAACAAGCAAAACAACAATCGATTAATATCACCAACAATGAAATCATAATGCAATTTGAGTGAATTAAAAAGGCACAACGCATCACATCACTCATCATTGACATTAAGCAGATGTTTTCCACTTTTACACTCAATTCGGACATGAAATTTTACTTACGGGAAGAATTTTAAGGAAGAAATCTCATCAAAGATGATCCGCGACCTTCAAACTCTTCTCACGACCCGCGATGAAATTAAATTTTAACACTAAATATTTCACTCGTTTTTTACAGTTTTCATCCCCTGCAATTTCTCGACTCGAACTTCACTTCATCAATTGAATGAACATTAACAGCAATTACGGAATCGTTTGACTTCCCCTTTCCATTTCACATTCTTCTCTGTTGTTATTCTGTTCCAATCATTTGTTTCCGGATGTTCAGTTCTGAGTCTGAATGATGATGAGACAAGCACGATGCTTGACGCGATAAATCAAATCACTGCACAAAACAAGGCAAGTAAGTCAAGGCTTTGAAAGGGATGAAACATAAAACATCAAAAAAGGATTTTCAGGATCAACCAACTAATGATAATGAGACAAACAAAAGCAAATTCCAAAACGTTTAGAGTCGGAGAGAATCATGTCAGTGACAAACCAAAACGAAATCAACAACACATGTGGAAAGTTTTACATAAAAGGATTTTCAACTGATAAACATTCACAAGTTGAAAGTCACAAAAGTTGGAAATTTCTTCACATTTTGTGGTTCTCTTATCACTTTTCACTTTTCATATGTTTCTGCCGATGCTTCTTTAACCACAGAACAGAACATAAATGAATAAAAAGAGAAGAATAAGTCCGGTGGTCTGTTGAATATGTTCTGGCAAACTTATCAGTCTCTCGAGATCTTTAAACGGTCGGTCGGTCGTTGGAATCTGCAGGGATCTGTGATGTGATGTGATGCACTTTTGAGTGCGTGTTTCTTCCTTTCTTCATCATCGAATGAATTTGTTAATCACAGGGGTTGAATTCAATGGCATAAAACATATAAAAAATAACATTTTCAAGTCTCATAACAATGCCCACTTATGATGAACGATTCTTTTTGTTGGTTTGGTTTCTGATGATCCAATCTGACGACTTCACACTGTGAACTATGAAACAATGAGAGAATTCCTTTTATTTTATTGATTCTAAACCAGAAATAATTTCTTGTCACATTTCAATGGTTTCACAATGAATTGTGCAATGTTTGCGAATCGAATTCAAGCAGAAAATTGTCGCTAATTAAATTGAGAATTGTTGTTGGTTTTTGTGAAGCACAAAAGAAGATTCAAAGACTCTTCGAAGTCATCTTGAAAAGACCCTTAATCGTCCTAGACAACAAACAAAATTCTCATCATCATTTATATTGAATGTCAACAACGTCAATCAACTTAAAATCAATCAGATAATTGCGTGGTTGGTGACAATGAATTCTCTGAAATAATCTCAGAAATAAAGAAATTTGTAGAAAATTTAAAAAATGTTTCTTCGATTGAACTTCTTTGGCCTTAGCTGAGACGACTGCACCAGACATTCCATTCGGAATGATTTCAATCAGTTAAAACACTGAATCCATATGACGCTGACGATCTTTGACTTCTTCTGCGTTCCGTTCGTAATAGAAACATCATTGTTCTAGGTCAAAAATGGATTTTTCTTTCGTTTTATTTCATTTTTATTCAATTTTACATCTCAATCAATAATTCAAAATGTTTACAGAAATGGATTTCCAACGTGCGCAATGATCAGTTCATAAGAAAAGTTTTGCAATTGCAAGTTATCGCAGATGACTTTTGTTTCTTCAATTCTCATATTTCTACACATAAATAAATAAACGAATTTCTGCTAAGCAATGTTGAATTTTTAGTTATTGACGGGAGTCACTTACGAGTTAGATCATCACTTTAGATAACATCAACAACATGCAGAAGCAGATGGTTTTGCTTTTCCCCGAAAATTGCCTTGTCACTAAAACTAAAACTCAATTGCGTGATGCTATTTTAGTGCAGTGTTTAATTGTTAGCATCAATTTTAATTTCATTCTGTATCAAAAACATGTTCCATATGTCGTCGCGATGTTTTCATCCAGCAAAGTTACGATCAGAAAATGCAAATTGATGCAACAAAACTAACTTTAACTGCAGTGTGGGTTGTTGTTTTGTTTTTTGCCCTTTAAATTCCTTGATTTGCATTTTGTTTCGACATCAACATGAATAAANTAAATTCTATGAAAAAATCCCAGAAAGGAAAAAATTTGTTGGAAATTTAAAAAATGTTTCTTCGATTGAACTTCTTTGGCCTTAGCTGAGACGACTGCACCAGACATTCCATTCGGAATGATTTCAATCAGTTAAAACACTGAATCCATATGACGCTGACGATCTTTGACTTCTTCTGCGTTCCGTTCGTAATAGAAACATCATTGTTCTAGGTCAAAAATGGATTTTTCTTTCGTTTTATTTCATTTTTATTCAATTTTACATCTCAATCAATAATTCTCCTGAATAAATGTGAGAATTATAACTTGCGCAATATTTCTATAGAAAAACTTTTGCAATTGCATGCAGTTTGCCAACTAAAACTATTCGAAACATTTATCAAAGATGACCAATAAGTGAATGTGACCTTAAACAAGCGTATATGGATTACGACAGACAGTACATGCATGCGGTGTTTATTTCCAGTTCACTTTACATCTCCATTGATTTGATGAAGTTTAACAAAGTGAAGCTCGAGTTAATTACAATATAGATCGTCTGAACTAAACTTCACAGTGTCATATGGTGAATTGAATAGAAAATTCATTCCTTTAAATGCCACGCTTTGATGAACTTAATGAATTTCTATGTTACCAACAAATTTCATTGCTTAAATCGACAACCACAATTATTCAATGCCAAGCACACTTCTCATGTTTTACATTTTTTGTCTAATTCGATTATAAAAGCTGCAAAACTCACAAATTGAATCATCGAATTTCGGATTGAAATGATGGGTTGAGAAGAACGATGGGAAAATGTATCAGGTTTCATGTTGTTTGTTCTGCTCGTGTTTAATTCTCTTCTGTCTTCTGTTTACAAAAGGATGATGTTCTTTTAATTCAAATTACAAACAAATATATTGTCATCACAGAAATGGAAGCTTAGCGAGAGAAAGCGAACAAGCAAACAACAATTGTCTGATGAACCCTCTTGATGTTCTTGATGGGTCTTTTTCTTCTGCTGTTTGAACAAAAGTTGAAAGAATTATTTCCAGTTAATCATTGAGGGATAGCAGAAAACTTGATCGTTTATTCATTTGTTTGTAAGTTGAAGATTTAATAAAAGGAAAAGAATATTTAACGACATCGAGTAATGAAGCTAGGAAGGAAAAAATAAACTTCCATGCTGCTTCAAAGATATTTTCGTTTTAGCTTTCAAAACTTTATCGCAATCATGAAATCTTTTCCAATTTCCTTTGGCAAGAAGTCACAAAACTTGTAATTATTTTAATGGATTTCTGAGAGATTCTTATCGAAATTTAAACTATTATTTACGGTCTCGCAAGTGTGAGAATTGCGTCTTTTGTGTATGATGTAAGGATATTTCGAAAAAGTAAAGCTCAGCATGACCTCAAAGGAAGAGAAAATTGATAAGAATCAGCAAACATAAACTAACGAGGATATTTTCTCATGCAGAAAATAAATCTTAAGATAAGAAAAGAGAACTAAGAAAATTCAGCAATTAAAGTTTCGTCGATAACATTTAATGAGAGTTTAATTCCATCTGTTCAAACATTGATTGATGTTCAAAGGATTTTGCGAATGGGAATGCGCAATATGGTTTTTGAGGGTGACGGAAATTCATGTTTACTTTCACTCATTGATTGGTATTTGCAAACAGATTCAAAATATCGACTAAAGATTTTTCGAAGCTATCATCAAAAACATAAAGTGCTAATTGCTGCGTGAATAAAACCATAAACACAAAGAATCTTCATAAGCATCACTTCTTTAATCCCCTTAAAGCAATAAAAGCAATTGACGTTAATTGACTGACACATAATTTACAAAAACCCTGAACTTATAAATATTTCTTTCCTTCACAAAACAGATGGTCAAGGTTTAATTTCGCTTTAAAAGTTACAGTAGTAACATTAAAAACCGCAGTTAATTTATGCAAAACATTCCACAAAGCAAGTTTGAAAAATATTTAATTAGATTTGACTTCGTTTTCCACCCTGCTGTTGATGATGTTTTTGCACTATTTTTATGATTTCCATTCAATTGTTATGTTGCTTCATAATTATGCATCATATTTTATGTTCTGAAAAGGTCTGAGTGAAAGAACCGCAGAGAACTAAAATCATAACAATCCATCGTATCGCAAAGCTATGACAATTCACTTTTACGATACCTTTGTTATCCATATCAACATTGTAACGTTATAATGACCATTGAACTTGTAGATAAATATTTTTCACTCTCATGAAGAACATAAAATTTTATTACTTATGCATCAGAGTCAACATAACTCATGCCATTGTCTAATATGAGGCAGCTGATAATGAAAACAGAAAAATAGTTTCTGCGGTTTTTCGGGATGAAATTCTCACAAAATCGACTCTCGTTTGCTTCCCTTTCAACAAAAAGTATCAATAACTCAATACGTTGTGTGAGGGAAGATTCTTATCAGGATGACTGAATCGTTTAAATACGATCGAAACTGACCTATACTAATTAATAATAATAAAGGAATAAGAAGAAATTCAGCGTTGTTTAACGTGGGAACGAGTTCGATTCAGGTGTCCACTTCCTGTGGAAGAAACAAGCAGGAAGAAACAAGCAAACTATTCGTCTTTATAACTATGACAATGTTCTGAAGGAACCTTTTTATTTGCATTAATTTTGAACATAAATTATGAGAATTTTTTAATTTTTGTTTTTATGTTAAAGGATGCGGGTGTACCAAAGGGTAGTTTCAGAAGTCTTCATATCAATTAATATTATTGACAGCAGTGTACTTCTCTTTTTTACAGCTTTATATTTAAATTCATTACTTTCTTACATTCTCTTGTTCCGATCTTACGACGTGACGGAAATTTTATTTTCATTTCATTTTAAATAAAGTTATGACACTTTTTTTTGTAGCCGATTGCATGTTTATTCAAGAGCAGATGTTGTCGAAAACCGCATGATTGTAATATAAATGCGATAAAAGGTGTTGTGAGTTTTAAAAACCCCCAAATTTGGGTCAAGCAGAGTGGACATTGTTTAACTGATGACTATCAGTGACTACACAAACCAATATTGATCACTTTTTCAATCTTAAACTATCTTTATAAATTTATGAGCTTTATTTCTTTGAAATTTTTTTTAAAACTTTCCGAGAAGTGGAAATTTTATTACAAATTTTCCCAAAGAAGTTTCTCTAACAAAGCATTTAAAATATTATCCAACCAATCACAACGCTTACAATTTTCTCATATTTTATGGGTTGTGTCAAACATTATTGTCGTTGTAGAGTGTTGAAGGGAAACTTATGTTGCTTATGTTCACTCATTCGTATCACTGTGTTTGTGTTGGGCTGTTTAACAACAATTCCTTTGACGATAAAACATTTTAAGGTTCTTTCAGATGTGAGACAACATTCGAGCTGTAACTCTTCGTGTGTGCAGACGTTCGATTAAAAAAAAATATTAACTCGAGAATAAATAAAAGTTCTGAACGTGAAACGTAAAAGAAAAAAGTGTCGGGAATGTTACGAGATTGGGATATTAATGACTGTATAGTGCCGGTTGTTAGTGAATCTGAGTTAAATGATTATCAAGAGTGGGCTGATGGTCATTGCCGTTTTATTTATAATCCAAATAGTGAAGATGCAAAGAAACATGCATCAGGATGGGCGATGAGAAACACAAATAATCACAACGTGAAAATCTTAAAGAAAAGTTGTCTTGGTGTTTTGGTTTGTTCTCTCAGTTGTACATTGCCAAATGGCTCACAATTAAATTTACGCCCGGCAATTTGTGACAAAGCAAGACGAAAACAAACTGGAAAGCAATGTCCAAATCGAAATTGTAAAGGAAAGTTGGAAATTCGAACATGTCGTGGTCATTGTGGCTATCCTGTCACTCACTTTTGGAGACATACTGATTATGGAGTGTTCTTTCAAGCTAAAGGTGTTCACGATCATCCTCGACCTGAGCCCAAAAATTGTCGTGAAACTAAAAGATATTTGGGAATGGGAAAACGGAAGAATCTTGCAATGATGTTGACGAGAGATGCTGCTTTGAATAAAAAGTTAAAGACACTTCAAGGCAGCAATGTGAACTTTGTCGAAAATCAACAAAATTACCAGCAGAATGATCCAACGGCCAACCAGCAGCAATATGTCATAGAATATCATCGAAGCAACTATCAAGAACAGTATTCACCAAATCAAAGTATTTCACCGAATTTCTGTTCAAATGAATTCATTAATCCCGAAGAAATCTTCCAACTTGATCAGCCCATCAAACAATATTCCAATCATCTCGATCAAACTTACTCAAAGTCACCATCAACGGTCCTTGACTTAGATCGAAATTATTTGGTGAAAAATGAAATTTCCGCTTTTAATTTCCCCGACGGATATGAACGAGATGAAACGATGAGTCTGACGAGTGCTTCAAGTGCCAGCTTATTTGATGATGGTTATCATTATGTTGACAACAATTACAGTCAATCAAACTATGTCTCTCAAGAGTATAACAACAACGACTATTATGGAAAGTCTTTCTATGTTGATGAAGCAGTGACTTATGAAACTCAAGCGATTGACAGTTCAGCTGTTGGTCAAATGAATTATATGAAATGTGAATTCGCAAACAATCATCCGATCATTCAACAGCAACAAAACTACATGATCGATTTCAGGAATGAACCAACAAATTATGGAAATTATGACGAAAACACCTCAGCATCAGCCTATGTTACTCACTTTGAGCAATGCGCATTTTGATGTTAAATGTCTTCATCTTAGCTATAAATCAAATCATTTTACTTTTCATTATCGTGTTTTTCTCTCAACTTGAATTAATTAACACGCAAATTGCGTGTTTTATGGTTTTTCACTAGAATTAAGAAATATCTTGCCTTCTACTGCTTAATGTTAAATTGTTTCTATCTTTGTCTAGTCAGTAAAGAAATCATTTTGTGGAAGAAAAACGAATTTTTGTTTCATTTAATTTTTTCTACAGCAAATTCAATTTACGTTTGGGAAAGCTTTTCAATTGTTTCATAATTCACAGTGTGAAGTCGTCAGATTGGATCATCAGAAACCAAACCAACAAAAAGAATCGTTCATCATAAGTGGGCATTGTTATGAGACTTGAAAATGTTATTTTTTATATGTTTTATGCCATTGAATTCAACCCCTGTGATTAACAAATTCATTCGATGATGAAGAAAGGAAGAAACACGCACTCAAAAGTGCATCACATCACATCACAGATCCCTGCAGATTCCAACGACCGACCGACCGTTTAAAGATCTCGAGAGACTGATAAGTTTTCCAGAACATATTCAACAGACCACCGGACTTATTCTTCTCTTTTTATTCATTTATGTTCTGTTCTGTGGTTAAAGAAGCATCGGCAGAAACATATGAAAAGTGAAAAGTGATAAGAGAACCACAAAATGTGAAGAAATTTCCAACTTTTGTGACTTTCAACTTGTGAATGTTTATCAGTTGAAAATCCTTTTATGTAAAACTTTCCACATGTGTTGTTGATTTCGTTTTGGTTTGTCACTGACATGATTCTCTCCGACTCTAAACGTTTTGGAATTTGCTTTTGTTTGTCTCATTATCATTAGTTGGTTGATCCTGAAAATCCTTTTTTGATGTTTTATGTTTCATCCCTTTCAAAGCCTTGACTTACTTGCCTTGTTTTGTGCAGTGATTTGATTTATCGCGTCAAGCATCGTGCTTGTCTCATCATCATTCAGACTCAGAACTGAACATCCGGAAACAAATGATTGGAACAGAATAACAACAGAGAAGAATGTGAAATGGAAAGGGGAAGTCAAACGATTCCGTAATTGCTGTTAATGTTCATTCAATTGATGAAGTGAAGTTCGAGTCGAGAAATTGCAGGGGATGAAAACTGTAAAAAACGAGTGAAATATTTAGTGTTAAAATTTAATTTCATCGCGGGTCGTGAGAAGAGTTTGAAGGTCGCGGATCATCTTTGATGAGATTTCTTCCTTAAAATTCTTCCCGTAAGTAAAACTTCATGTCCGAATTGAATGCAAAAAGTGGAAAACATCTGCTTAATGTCAATGATGAGTGATGTGATGCGTTGTGCCTTTTTAATTCACTCAAATTGCATTATGATTTCATTGTTGGTGATATTAATCGATTGTTGTTTTGCTTGTTTATTGTTTGCTAACATCAAACCCTCTTCAGATCTTTTGTGTTGCTATTTTTTCGTTTTTGCATGTAATCATCGCTCGATGCTGATGGAAATTCAATTACAAACGCAAGAGAAAACTTTTCACATCTTTGACTCACATAAGCAGATGAAACTCTCAGTTCATTCATAGAAAGGTGCAAAGAGTTCTGTTGAATAGTTAAAACCACAAAAATCTCGTGATAATCCAATCGCATTTACACAGTAGTGAAGTTGAAGATTTAAATTCTTTAACACTTGAGGCCAATATTTGGTAAAAGTTCTAATCGTAATCGTTCCACATGCTTAAGCACTGGCGATGATGATACCAGCACCATATGGTTTGACTTTTTTCAAATTTAAATAGCTCGTGCCTTCCATTCATTTAGGGTCGTCTTCTTAACTAGTCAAAGTAGCACTTTGGGTATTTAAACTCCTGTTGAAATTAAAATAGCCACAGAAATAAATTTCATTATCATTGCTCAAAGTGCGAAGCCAATTTTCCAATGTTCATTAACTTATAGGGTANGAAGTTCAATCGAAGAAACATTTTGTAAATTTTCTACAAATTTCTTTATTTCTGAGATTATTTCAGAGAATTCATTGTCACCAACCACGCAATTATCTGATTGATTTTAAGTTGATTGACGTTGTTGACATTCAATATAAATGATGATGAGAATTTTGTTTGTTGTCTAGGACGATTAAGGGTCTTTTCAAGATGACTTCGAAGAGTCTTTGAATCTTCTTTTGTGCTTCACAAAAACCAACAACAATTCTCAATTTAATTAGCGACAATTTTCTGCTTGAATTCGATTCGCAAACATTGCACAATTCATTGTGAAACCATTGAAATGTGACAAGAAATTATTTCTGGTTTAGAATCAATAAAATAAAAGGAATTCTCTCATTGTTTCATAGTTCACAGTGTGAAGTCGTCAGATTGGATCATCAGAAACCAAACCAACAAAAAGAATTATTCATCATAAGTGGGCATTGTTATGAGACTTGAAAATGTTATTTTTTATATGTTTTATGCCATTGAATTCAACCCCTGTGATTAACAAATTCATTCGATGATGAAGAAAGGAAGAAACACGCACTCAAAAGTGCATCACATCACATCACAGATCCCTGCAGATTCCAACGACTCTTTGAAGATTTTATTTCTTATTTATTTACGTTGCGCAACATAAGGAAATGGTTAAAGTCTTTAACCAAAAGTAATTTAGGTAATCCTCAAAGAAATTTAAGTGTTAAGATTTATTTCAGCCAAATGATGAGCAATTACCAAGGGTTCTTGAACCTTTAACAAAAAAAACCGCTTACACATTTCAACATTAAGAAAGAAGAAAAGAAGAAGAAAACGTTTATGTTTCAGGTATCACACGTGTTGACAACATCATTTTTCATTTTTTTCTGAAATATGAAACTAACAGGTGAAGAATCAGGAAAGAAACTGTAAATTAAAATAACACGGTGGAAGAATTCCGCGTTACTTTTTGCACATTTTACTGCGGACAATCTCAAACAGATTCAATGTCTGTGAAAAATTTAAATTAAGTTGTTTGTTGCTTCTGGAAGAAAGATATAACGAAACATAATTGATAACAGCATAATTGATCAATACAGAAACGATGGAATGAGAATGATCGTCGATAATGTATTAAGTTGTTGATTGATTCGTCTCTCCATATGATGATCTTGAAACATCCAAAATTGTGACATTATTCGAAAGCAAATTTTCTTAATACAAATTCTTTAATCCAGTAATATTTATTCATCCCTTTATAAATAAATTTACTAACATGACATTGTCTAATAAAGTTAAATGAACATCATCCTTTTATTACGATGACAATGTCAACAAACAAAGAGAGATTTAAACACGAGCATAACAAACAAACATGAAACCTGATACATTTTCCCATCATTTCAATCTGTAATTCGATGATTAAATTTGTGAGTTTTGCAGCTTTTATAATCGAATAAAACATGAGAAGTGCGTTTGATTAATGCGCTAGACGAGTCGGTCAAAGAAATTGAATGAGATATAAATTTTGGGCTTTAACTAAAGTTCAAAAGTATCGCGTTGCGATAGCCTTTTAAATACAATTATAAAAATTTAATTTCATTTTGAATGAAACTATCAACCCATGACTATCTCAATTGATTTAAATAGCGTTTGTTGTTCAAGCATATGCTACCGTGAAGTGGTTTTTAAAAAGTTACAATTGACTCGTGCCATCATCAATGTGTACTTTATTCATGTTGATGTCGAAACAAAATGCAAATCAAGGAATTTAAAGGGCAAAAAACAAAACAACAACCCACACTGCAGTTAAAGTTAGTTTTGTTGCATCAATTTGCATTTTCTGATCGTAACTTTGCTGGATGAAAACATCGCGACGACATATGGAACATGTTTTTGATACAGAATGAAATTAAAATTGATGCTAACAATTAAATACTGCACTGAAATAGCATCACGCAATTGAGTTTTAGTTTTAGTGACAAGGCAATTTTCGGGGAAAAGCAAAACCATCTGCTTCTGCATGTTGTTGATGTTATCTAAAGTGATGATCTAACTCGTAAGTGACTCCCGTCAATAACTAAAAATTCAACATTGCTTAGCAGAAATTCGTTTATTTATTTATGTGTAGAAATATGAGAATTGAAGAAACAAAAGTCATCTGCGATAACTTGCAATTGCAAAACTTTTCTTATGAACTGATCATTGCGCACGTTGGAAATCCATTTCTGTAAACATTTTGAATTATTGATTGAGATGTAAAATTGAATAAAAATGAAATAAAACGAAAGAAAAATCCATTTTTGACCTAGAACAATGATGTTTCTATTACGAACGGAACGCAGAAGAAGTCAAAGATCGTCAGCGTCATATGGATTCAGTGTTTTAACTGATTGAAATCATTCCGAATGGAATGTCTGGTGCAGTCGTCTCAGCTAAGGCCAAAGAAGTTCAATCGAAGAAACATTTTTTAAATTTCCAACAAATTTTTTCCTTTCTGGGATTTTTTCATAGAATTTATTGCCACCTGAAAAAAAAAAAAAATGTGTGAATTTTATTGAA